GAGGGGGGAGGACGCACGAGAAAGATTTTCGCCGATGGAAGAGAGCGTATTAAGAGTGACTTAAATTAATAACGCTCGCTATTTCGGAGTCGCTTCCAGGCACCGCTAACCCGATTAGTAGCCGAATGCAGCAGCAGCAGCAGCAGCAGCAGCAGTTGCAGCAGCGGAGAGAGCGAAGTGAGATAACGCGGGCATAAGTAATTCATCGGCCGATCTCGCGGCGTGACTGGCTGGCTATGGTAGTGGCGCAGTAATTATGGAAACTTCGACGTTACGTCAGGCTTTATAATTGGACGGGTTTCTCTCTCTCTCTCTCTCTCGTTTACAAGAGGGATGTTGCGAAGGGATGCGAGGAACGGTGGACTTGGTATCGCGAATCACATTATGTCATGTCAGTCACGGATCGAGGTACAGGTTCTCTCTCTCTCTCTCTCTCTCTCTCTCTCTCTCTCTCTCTCTCTCCCTCTCTCTGGCATCGCGTGATCTGATTTATAGCCAAGCTTCGTTAAATAAAATAGCTTAGCCTGCCGCTTAACGTTGGTTAACCATCACTTAATGACGGTATCATTTTCAGCTCCCAACGCGCAGCGCTGTCGAGCGAAGATATCACGCCACGCTCTTCTGGAAAGCTATTCTCCCGCGCCGTAATCATTTCAATTATTCCTCTCGGAGATATACGCAAACTGAATTTGCGAAGCGTGATCCGTGTTCACGGGCTCAATCGCTTCTGCCGATGGCCGTATATAATTTCGTATTTATATGAAACAGCGCGGATCTGCACCGGATGTTGATTCTCAGCTGTCGATGTCGAATTTGTAATAAAACAACGGTTACAGTTTCAGAATGTTACTAATAGCGTCCGCCACGATTTTAATAGTGTCATTAATTCATTGCTTTCGTTAATTATTTATCATTACGTAGTTTATTATTTAATTGAAAGGATTTTGAAAGAGTTTCTCAGATTATCAGGTCAGTAGACAAGAATAGCTGCTTCGAATAAGTGTTTTAGCAGAAACTTAATTCGACAATGGCT